AGGATCTCGAGCGCACACTGGGTGTTCAAGAAAATGTCATGATGGGGATGTGTACATTTAGGGTCAAAACACACCATGTCATCATAGATACCGCTTAGAACAAGTCGGAGGACCAAACTTGTCCGGTCTGAAAAGTTAAGGGTGCAAGATTTCTGGTTTTAAAGTTGAGGGACCAAATTCATACTCCGCAAAGAGTTATGGACGAAAAATATACTTTTCTCGATTATCATTAAAACAACATTTCTTTCAACATTACTATGTCATCATTAACCAAGTAATAATCGTTTCAATCTCTATTCATGGAATGGAATGTCTTTCAGTCCATGTCTAGCATATAAGTGACACATCTCAAACTCCAGGTGTTCAATGCACACCACTATGATACCCTCCGAAGTTTCCTATTTTGAAATCAAAGACATCCACAAGTCTAGTGTGACCTGACTAGTTATCCTTGATCATGGACACAACTATCGACAAGACACAATATGATCATGCCAGCCATGTCGGGACATAGGTGTATGCATCCCAAGAACAATACATAACTTATCCCCTACTCAATGTTAACATAGAACCTGCTTAATGGGGTACTACCCTCAACACTAGGCTCGACACAAATATTTAGCAACCAGCCAGAACACATGCCACTCCTAAAGAAGGGGCTGCTATCGTCTATACATTTTCAATGAGACCCATCACTGTGTCCAGATAACCATATCATCAATCACGAAGGTCCTATCCGAGAGCCAACATACAATCTCCTTCATGGTTCCCTACTCTACCAGGGGTCCTATGCTTGGCCAAACGAGGTACTAACCCATATTGGGGTAACGTGGTCGCACATGTATGGTTTGGGTAGGACCGAGACTTACGGCTTTGTAAAAGAACATCCTCTAATTCATTCTACACCTTAAGAACCTCCTTTCTAGAAACCTTGGCCACTAAATGACCCCCAAGAGTAGTAAAATCATGCGAGTCTTAATTAGTGATTCTCACATGTCCTTTGATTTTATGTGCGAAGCATGTCCAAACTTGTTACTATTAGTCTCTAAATCCCACCTATTTAGGTATGATCAGTGGATGGGTGTCAATACCTAAGTGGCAAGGATTATTATTATCAATTCACATGTTTTTTACGTTTAGGTACAATAGGGCATAGCAAATAACATTTCTATGGAATTAAGTAATGTAACAATGAAAATAATAGTGGTTCAACCATGGGATCAATATGATCGGACGGGGTTCTTACCTGGTTTGGCAGAATCTTCAAAGTCCTCGGGACCATCATCAAAATTCTACACAATGGTTTCCTCTAATCGCAAATAAGAGAAAGAATTAGAAATAATGAATAAACAAATCCCAAAATTATGCAAAAAAATTGGTATTGTTGGGTTGAGTTATGAATTCTATGAATGTACAAAATCACTAAATTGGCTTAAATATGGGAGATATTAATGTTCTTTTGTTTTCGTTCTTGAGTAAAAAATTATATGCGTTAATCGATGAACAATCACCATGTAGGCTTAATTTAAACCCTCTATATTACTATAAACGATGACACAATTGATATTACTATAAACGATGACTTGATGACACGTGGAACTAAACAAATATTACACTTTTTCAAACAAGGAAAGTATTTCAAAGGGGGTACGCTTTTAGTAATGATTTGAACCTACTAAGTGGGCTCCACCTATCAGATTTAAACCATTACACAAGCTCGTTGAAAGTAGGACCCGTTAGTAATAAGTGTGATGGTGGTAGAGAAGAGCTCATTAAAGTTCTACCTACCGGTTGAATGATGACAAGCTAGGCTACGGGAGCAAGCATGTCGTCAAAAAAGGCTCCATACCGACTAGTGATGGTTGAGGGTTACGACATGAAAGCATTACAACAATTAGGTGGCAAGGTCAAACATGGGCTCGTCGATGAGCTATCTTTCTCATAACCGATGAAGTAAAACAATGAGGGCAATGACCAGGGAGCGAGGGGTCGAAGGGATCATGGATTTCAAACTAGAGCCGACGAGAACTTTGTCAGACTGGGTTAATTCACCAAATGTATAGATGTTCAGCCAGTACACATGGCATGGTCCATGGGTGCAGTGGAGGAATTCAGGATGCACATTCAACGAGGTTAAGTGGTAGGATAGCCAACTCGTGTGTGGGGGGGAGTGGGGGGTGGGGGACACAAAGGCGAAAGTGTTGGACATAGTTCCAAGCGGATGTAGAAGGGAGTGGGGAAGTTGCGCACAGCTAGGGTGCCCGTGGCAGAAGCAAAGTGGATTATTGTGAACATCGAGTCTAGAAACACACACAGGGCTAATTAAGCTAGTGGGCCAAGGATGCTCGCGGCATATACTGGCGGAGCATACATGCAGGAGAAAGAGGAAGAGGGAGAAGGGTAACACAAATGACGTGACGGAGGTGCGGGACACCAACGTGGTTGACTTCAAGCGAAGTAGAGGCCATGTTGGTCTGCTTCCCAGATTGGCCATTGGTGAGGTGACGCTAGAGCGCATACCCACAGTGTAGATTTAGGTTGCTCTAGGCAAGAGAGGAAGCAACAAGAAGGATGATTGGGGATTGGGCTGCTATAGCCGAAGGAGGAAAGAACAAGGAAGAGCATTGTGAGTGTTCCCAACTCGCTAGAAATGACAGGGCAAAGGAGAAGAGCTAGGACAAGTCAGATTGAGCAAAACTGCCATGGCATCTAATGCTATTGGATTGGACGCGAGTGTGTTAAAAAGAACCAAGATATTTTCTTAAAAGAGACTAGGTTATCAAGGTAGAAGGAAGAGGAGCATCTATTGGAATCCTTAGGGTATCTTTAAAAGATTCTAATTTCGGCACTTGGGTTGAAACCCAGTCCCTGGTTTAGTTTTCCGTGAATAGCAAGATTGACAACACTTGGAGCAAGTTATAGTGGACTTTGGGTGCAAGTTCCTGGACCTCATGCGACAAGGCCATAACACGAAGATAGGAGTTAGGATACAAGTATATTCAAAATCAATAGAGCTTTAGCAAATTACCTAGATGCCTTGTGAGATGATCCCAACAAAACATATGTTGAATCTCTCTTGATGTTTTTATTTCCTTCTATAGACAATCTCGAACCCATCTCTTTGTTGTGCTGCAGCCTTCTCTTCTTCTCAAGCCTTTCTCTAATTTCCTCTACTTTTGTAGCGTTTGCCTTCCTTTGTGAAGGACAAGGTGAACATATATAATCCTACATCAATAGAGAAAGGAAGGTGCGGATAAATTGTTGTTCTTAAGAAGCCAAAGTGCATTAATATCACAACTCGTTTCATGGGCTAGGGACGCCGAGCCCTTATCATCACCTTCGCTCAACTTGAACATCCATGACCTTGCCTAGAGATTCTTCTCTATCGTGGCCTCTCTTTGAGTTCGAACCTGGTTGCCTCACGTATGTTGCCTTGATTGAGTCTTACTAGCAAACTTCACATGCCTTTCTATTTTAGTTGTTCCCTCTTTCTAGATTTGAGCTACTCTAGAGTTTAAAGTTTTTCCATGAAAATACCACCTTGTAGGCTCCACTACTGCAACTCTACCCTCTGACCTCCCATGTACCAAGACATCCTCTCATTCACTTTTATAAATCCCTTATGACTAGTTGGGGCTGCTTGGCTATAAATTGCTCTGAAAGCATGCGAATCTACTTGACTTGACGGCATAAAAAACTTCATGCTACTGGATGACTTACGTGGCTATTGAATACAAGTGGTTGATCAGGCTTCAAACAATCCTTTGTATGACAAGGCACCCTCCACAACATTTAGAGGCCACCTCGTGGCTATAATCTAACCTCGGCTAATTTCACACATTACACGGGCATGATAAGCCCCTCCCTCAAAGATCTCTACTTTTCCTTCCTTCGCATTCTAGGGTCATGCACCTTGTGGGGATAATCATCCTTTTATGCCTTCGACCAACCCGTCATGCTCATAGCGCCTCCAACAAAAATGCTCGTACTACTCAGGTTTGTAATCATCATGGTGGAAAGAAGACTCGCAATCCTCATCCCGACTCGCAAGCACTAGAAATGTTGGCCTAGCAAACACGAGATGGTGTTGCATCATCCATGATCACGCTACCTATCAATGGACCACATATAAGCTACCATTCTAAGAAAAAGAACCAGATCTATATGGTAATAGCATAGTTACGAGATTCAGTGTGAATGGCTTCAAACTATAATCAAGATTTTCTCAAGGAGTATTAGTAATATGAGTACTCCCAAGTCTAGATGCCCTTACTTGTACTCCCAAGTCACATGCACTATATACCTGTCCCTTGGGGTATGCAATACATTCAAGTTGCATCCTCTAACATGGTATCAAGGACTAACATGGTATCAAGGAGCCCATTTTTAGGGGGGGGGGGGGTCACACACAACTCATGCCCTCAATCCAGATAGATGCATTTTGTTTTTTATCTCCACTTCTCGATCGAGTTTGCGTCTCAAGCTCCCTATCTTCTCGGATTGATTCTTCCTCTCGACTCATCTGCTTTCGTTGCTGCTTAGGCATTTACAGATTCCATGATTGCATCAGGCACCCTCTCATGCGAGTCACAACTCACGACGCGCTGACAACCAGATCATGCCGTCTCGACAGCTCTTGTTCCCGAATAAAGGCCGCCAACTTCCTCACTCCATCCTTGCAGCCTCCGATTGATGTGCCATCTCTAAGCTTTAAATCGACGACTGTCGTCTGCAGTCGAAGCTTCGCCAATCCCATGCCATAGGCCATGCCTCCACGGTTCACTGGGCCTAGCCCAACAGCTTCTCCGCTTTTCGCACCAATCCACCACCAAGTAGACTAGTTGTTGGCCCCAAATACATGTTGTGCCCTGATCTCCTAAGACATTGTTGCGACTTCTTGGGCAGCCAACGCCCTCTATTGTTCCCACTGCTCGTCCCCAGCTAGCTCCGCTCAAAACTCCTCAAGACACCCTCCGGTCTACAAGCACCCCCTCGCCATCTCAAGGAGGCCAGTCCCCATGCCATAGGCCATGCCTCCACGCTTCACTAGGCCCAACAACTTCCCCACTTGCCGCACCAATCCACCAAGTACATTGGTTGTTGGCCCCAAATACATGTTGCACCCTGATCTCCTTAGACATTGTTGCGACTTCTTGGGCAGCCAATGCCCTCTATTGTTCCCACTGCTCGTCCCCAGCTAGCTTCGCTCAAAACTCCTCAAGACACCCTCCAGTCTACAAGCATCCCCTCGCCATCTCAAGGAGGCCGGTCCTCGCTGGTCATTGCCTCTGGTGGCTAGCTGGCGGCTAGCTGCTACATGCCTACTACCCCATATGTGGCTCTCTATGCTGCTATTAGTATGCTAGTCTCCTACTACAGTTGCCCGTGTGTTGATGCCAGCGTTGATAGGTGTTCTTTCAAGGCATATTTACTTTATTGAGTCCCATGTCTTCGATGCCCAACATCGTTTCTCTTCCTTGTTGTCCGCTAATTCTTGACATTGACCATTTTGCCAACTCCGTCTCACACATGCACCTTCCATCAAGTGGGTGTCCATCCATTAGTTGCCATTCAATACTACTCTTTTTACATCCCACCTGCATGGCTTCCTTCATGATCCCCCTACAAACACAATGGGCCCCTGCATCATTCTCTGGTGAGTGCTTCCTAGCTTTTGCTTTTTCTTTTTTGCTGGGTTCACCACATCCGTTGCTCGTTCGTGTTTATCATGCCATGTGAGTCCACCAAATCTTTATCCGTCAGTCTTTTTTTTCCTGGTCATGGTCCTAGTCCTTTCAAGTAAAATTTATGTGGCTTTTCTCCCCAATAAAAACCCAAATTGCGAATCAAGGGAGCAGTGAATTTGGTAACTATGGGTAATAGTCCCAACTAACACATGCATATCCTTAACACTTGATGCCACTAATTAACCGATAAATCAGTATAAGCTATTTATATGGGCTTGTGAACATTATGGTCTAATGACCAAAACTGACATCTCAGTTCTACATTTTATGACATTAGTCAAACCCCTACCAAAAGTATCGAGGCCCTTGGGAGGGTGCTACGGAAAAGCAAGCTACCGTTCAAGTCATTATAGAAGCTCAAGAAACAACCTTTACAAAGTGATACTCATAGATCAAGAAGCCTACATTTGATTCCATTTATTTACTTATAATTGACGAAAGCAACATGGTGAGTGCCATGAGGTTATTTTTTGTGCATTATACTTGATTACCAGTTTACAGAATCATGCAAAATACTCCCCCCCCCTACACACACAATCCAAAATAGGTGTCGCGGTTTTAGTTCAAAAATAGGTGTCGGATTTTAGATCAAATTTGAACTAAAAACACGACACTTATTTTGGATCAAAGGGGGTAGCTTATAAGGCCAACAGTGTGGCAATCACAAGCACATTTAACTAGTCAGAGTTTGACTTCCATTAGGTTATGGTTTTATGTATGTTCACATGCTAGCAACTTCAATCTTTAAGTACCTCAGAGTGCTGAAACTTTGTGGATTCTGTTGAACCGTGACCTTTGTTTTCTAGAAGAGCAGGGAACTTTATATGATCCCTGCAAGGTGTTCCCATAGCTGGGTCTATCTCATGGTCTCTGCATGGTATGAACAGGAGTTAGTAGCCGGTGTGGAGGAAGTAGGGAACCGGGTAAAAAATTAACTTACGTGCAGTAAATGATGAGTCTTTTAGATAGGTTTCTTTCCGATAGAAACCAAGCACGTATACGTCCGTTACCATACTTAAAGCATATCTCCCTGTGAAACATAAATATACGTGATGAGAAGAATTCAACCATGCAGAACCAAGAATCCACAAATTAAGTTAAGGAAAATCATTCAGATGAATATTGCACCATACCTTGGCAAACAATCTAAGTGATATGACCTTGGACAACGTCTGCAGCCAGCAAGCCACATTGCTCTTTCAGTCCCTTCCTCCATTATTTTACAATCAAGTCTGGAGCACCAATGTACAGGACACGGAAATGGCATCCCAGCTGCAATCTTGTTCTCCAACTCACAGGCTCCATTACTGTGAGACTGAAGTAATTCTGCAGCACACTTGGGGTGGTAGAAGTGGCCACAAAACAGTTTACAACATTGAAAGACCTGACAACATACAGTTTCCAAACTTAGGACTAGAAGAGGCAAAGATACTTGAAGCGCATTATTATGGTTTTAATGATCAGTAGGGCACAGGATGTAACAAAGATGAATAACAACACAAGCAGCATTTTGCCATTCCCAAGACAAGAAGAAAGGGCACAGGAAAAGAAATCAGGAAACCAAAAACCGATATTCTCTACCACGGGTAGAGTATTCTAAGGAAGAAGCAATATGTCACCTTGGCATTAGGCTCATGAGACGAGTCGAGTTCTCCGCATTTGAAACATTGGTGTTGTTCATATCTACAGTTTTCGCATATGAACTTATTCATTTCCTGTAAATATGTAAAAATGACAGTAACTAATATGTGACAACAAAATGAAGTGATAAAGCTGAAGTATCAGTCAGTAAAAACTTCAGAAAGCCACCTTTACTTGGACAGCAGTGTAACCAAGTGTTACACATTTAGACTTTCTGCCAGCTTCTATTGTAGGATGGAAGGCTCTCTTGCATCGACCTTTACAGCTGCATCAAAGCATTGTGTTAAGCGTCAGGTGGAGTTACGAGATTTATGTCAGCTAAAATACCATGATAATTCGACATAATAGATTATGTAGGTCACTTCACACAAAATGAATTATCCATGAAATGGTGGATGGTAACAAGATAACATCAAATGGTATGAGGATCAATCCCTTGACAAATTTACACATTCTTCTCCAACATTAGAAACAGAAAACATAAAAGAACAGATAGGGAGGGCGAAGAAACCCCCTCAATACATTCTTAAGATAAGAAGAAGCAACAAGAGACTTAGGTTTGAGAAGCAACAAAAAGCATGAACACACACAAGAAATAATTAGCTACAGAAAGCATAATGCACCAGATTAAATTATAATAAAGTTTGAACACACATAACCTACACCAGATGCAAAGTCTTAAGAAAAACATAGCACCAAAGTTTGCTGTTGTTCTTGAGATCATTAGGATCCAAAGAAACAAAGAAGGGCTCAGAACGAGAGCAAATATAGTACAGATTAGTATTCTCGTACCAACAAACATAAGGTATAATCTAAACTAACTATCAAACATATCCTTGCAAGGATAGCTTCAATAACGACTCGCACAAATGCATGTTAAATAGGACACTACAACACTATTAGAATAACTATAATGATGTCAAGTGAGATATGGAGCATATGCTAACCCACAATGTTGTGAGAGGCATTAAACAGATATCATCTCGTAAGTATAAAAAAACACATTATACCTAAGTAATTCTCCTCCTTCGTCACATATTGCACATATTGGCTCAGTACCATCACCATCATCACCGATTATGTTACCATCACTATATGTATCGCAATTGCCTTTACCCCCACTTGCAAGAGGCTCAGCAACAACAATGAATGACTCCTTGGTGCTCAGACTCCTTAATATGTCCTAATTTCCATATGAAAAGTAACAACATTTAGACAAGACATGAGAAATTTCGAAACACCATGTAAACAATGGTGTGGTAATAAAGCTTAAGAAGGTTTGAAATAATGTGTATTTAGCCCTGCATGCCAAAAACACTACGTATCCAAAGAAAGCTCCAAACTATGAACTTAGATACCTCAAAGTATTTCCCAGAAGTGTCCTTGATAAAGCTTTGCAGAATCTGTATGTGCAGAAAGGAAAAAAAAATCATGTATCAATTGAAGCATAGTGGAATTTTGTAAATCGGAATGCAGACACAGCAAGCAGCATACAAATGGATACTAAAGTAAACGGCAATGCATAGCCCATACCTGTATATGAAAGGATGTTGCAATGCTACTTTTTCATTAAAGCTAACTGTTCCAATGACTAGTGCTGTGCAGTTCCACTTTGGTTGTGTCAGTTAATGTGACGGCAACAATTTGTAACACGCCAGCCCAACAGGTACAGTCAGATTTATTTCAAAAGGTTAGTTTAACTCCTAGCTGTTGGATCAATTCTGTAACAACCTGATCAAGTTGACAGCTCTAGACATTGGTAAAGTCAAACCTTCCAGTCATTGACTATAAATATCTTCAAAAACATTTGGCTTATGCACTAGACAATCATATGCATAAATTTGTCTCAGAAAGTACTCCACAATATTAACTGTATTAGATCTCATAGTATGATAAGATACAAATTACTGATAATATTTATATTTTGGATATTGTGTCAATGTTCAA